TGCTGTTGCATACGACCGAGGGGATATATCCCCTCAGCCAGCTGCGGGGCTTGTTGCATACGACTGAGGGGATATATCCCCTCGCCAGCAGCGGGGCTTGTTGCATACGACCGAGGGGATATATCCCCTCAGACCTGCGGGGCTTGTTGCATACGGCCCCTGGTGTCAATGCGAGCCAGGTAACGGAATCGACGACTTTTGCGTTCTGACGCGCCCTTATCAGCCCTTATCAGTTGTAACCACTTTCCATCACCCACCAACAATGTCCCCGTCCCACCCCACATAACACCTGTGAGTATGGTTGCTCTGGTGTCAACGCGAGCCAGGTAACGGAATCGACGACTTTTGCGTTCTGACGCCCTTATCAGCCCTTATCAGTTGTTATCACTTCCAATTACCCATAAAATTTATTGTTTACGCCTGTATTACGACATACCTCGACGCTCGTCGACTAATCTGGAGGAATTGAGGGATCTAGGGGCGAGGGAAGGGGGGCTAGGAGGATGGGAGAGGGTAGTGGCTTCTCATTATCGATACCACAAAGACCATGGTTGTACAGGAACGCCATTGAAGAAACATTGTACTGCCGCGGTCATCCTCGGTGAGGTTTTCGCCCTGTGACCCAACCTTCCATCGCATATGAAAACCCGGTGCTAACTTAGTTGGGGGGGACCACGCGGCGGCGCGGCGCTTTGCTCACCTGGCGCTCTCTCGAGCGAGACAGTGTAAACTCGAACATTCCAGCTTTTCACGCATGTCAAGTGACTGCCCTCACCCCCACCCCCTAGACTGCCTACACTCCCCCTGGCCTCACGGATTTCCCGAAGTACACAAAGATGCCAGGCGCCGCCGCGTGGTCCCCCCCCCAACTATGTTAGCACCGAAAATCCCTAATTGGCTCGTTCTAGTTTCGACCCTGTTGATGATGAGAGTGGTAAACGGTACCACTGATCCTCTCACGATTTCACCTTTGGCAACTAATAATTGATATTTGACAAGTTCAGCACGAATAATTTTATTTCAGATTAGTTATAGAATCTCTATGAATCTTCTTGAGGCCTGAGCTGTAAATAATCCCCGTTTTCTTCCGATGTTAATGGATTATTGAATCGAAGCTGAAGCTCATCAGCTTCTACGGCATCATTTCCCATGAGTCGAATCACAAGCATTGCCGTTGCAAAGTGACCTTAAAAAGAACGAAGTGAGAAAATTCAGAAGAACATACACACATTTGGCTAAGAACTCACTTATCAAAGCGATAAAATCTGCTGTTTGATGTACTTTCCAAGCGAATGACAAATCGTCCCCAGTGCCGCGATAGTCAAGTTGAGTAAGAATCTCGACGAACCGCACAACTGACAAGATGAGCAGCGCCGTCTGACAGAGCGGATGTGTGGCCAAATGTTCCGAACATAAAATCTGAATCAAGAAATGTCTTTAGCTGCTACTAATTCAAAAAATGAGCAAATAAAAGGAAGGGAAGTGATGATGAAGATGGCGAGTGGCCACACTTACCACACACACGGTTCAGGGTTCAAATTCCAAGCTGACTCTTCCCAAGGCCAGTAAAGTCCTTCCTCCCCCAGAGGGACGGTAAATTGGTACCATCTTTCTTTATGAGGATAAAGCCACAGACTTCTACATATATTCGCTGACCCGACAAGTCAAATCGAGGCTATATCGCATTAGTGCCACTGCACTCCTCGAATGTGAGTAAAATTCATGGCGCATTGCAAAAAGTGACCGATTACCGCTAATGCTTTCTTGAGTGGGTAGAAACAAAAAATAGGGCTGGTGATTGCGATTTATCGCAGATCCTTGCCACAACAACGACCTTTTTCTGTTCTCACGGCACCACCGTTGGAATTGGTGTGCCGGTAATGGTCAAGCTAACTGGTTCCACCAGATGAGATGCATAAATTGGTCCGCATCTTCCATTATCTGTAGATGTTTCACCAAACGAAATGGGTACAGGAATGAGATGCTGCATATTGATACACTAGTTTGGCTCCGCTCGCAGCCGCGCGCACATCAAAGTAGGCTTTAGTGGAGCTGAACATAGTCGAGCTTTTGTAGGCAACACGCATGCTTTCATTGCTTCTGACTTATATTATCAACGAAAGTTTTCTCTAGTGCTGGTGATAAAGCAGTCATTCCCCGTAGTGCGAACGCTCATAAATATCCATCATTTCTGGATATTGAATGGTCTAGTGGCCGCAGCCGCTTTGGATAACTGCAGTTACTTGGACTCCGCACCAGGGTGAATATCGGTCGAGGAAATCCTCGACAGGGGGGTCGTACCTGTCGGGCTGGGTCATGGGGGTCGTACTCTTGGGGTCAGTAACAGCAGTGGTATCGTGGTGCAGATAGGTAAGAGGGTATAGCGCAGCAGAAAATGAAAATAAAAAAAAAACATGATATTAAATTTTCTTTGCAGGTTCAGTCGCTCCATTCCTCCACCTTCATGAGAAGGGCGTATTTGAAGGCAGTACAAAGAATGAAAGTGCATCCCCGCAAAGAAGACTGCCACATGTGCGCACGCGCTGCAAAGGCACCTCCTCTGCCTATCGCTCGCTCCTTCTCCCTTAATACCTCGCTGAGAATGACACTGTTGTTAGGGACCCTGTCGCAAAAACGACAACCGTGAAGGAAAAGCCCTGGGCAAATGAAGTTGTTCTTTAGGTTGTAGGAGTTACGAAATGCGTTTACTACAATGCAGCTTCTGTCAACTGGTCATGATCATATGACACCTTCGAATCGATTCTGCAACTTCGAGTGAGGTCGGATGCATGGCCTATACTCAGACAAAATTCGATGATGACGATTGCCCCTTTTCCTATTGCTTATGTTGGGAGGATGTTTTCTAGACCCATTTCAAGCGTTGCCAACAATTACACTTGCAATGGTGAAGAGGGAGCGGATTTTCAGGTGGCCGGATCCGTCCTCGATACATACTCGACGCAGATATCTTCTCAACTAGGAAATGTAGAAGAAAGCTAAGAAGACCATCAGAAAGCGCAAACCTTCCGCTTTCCAAAACTGTCTTCCCTTTTCAGGACCTTACGACATTAGAGAGATATTGCTTTTGAAGTGGCAAAAACTAGCATGAAAATTTCAGCGTCCTCGACGTTTACTCGACGAAATTTGAGAGACCCTATCTTTCTGCATGGAAGGCTTTCAGAGCAATTTCAATACTTCTTGGAAACGCGAAATCCAGCTCTATCTAACCCTACCTCAAACTGCTTCAAAGGTTATGAAATGGAGGAATGCAACCTTTTCATCGAGGGTGTAGATTTCGACGGTTTTTTTTTCGGGATTTCAGCAAATCTGACCCAGTGACAATCGCGCCGCAGCTGCCGTTGAATCGGCCGTTGATTGATACACTCGGCTGTTTCGATATACTCAAGCAGGAATTAAGATTAAATCGCAACCCCGTGCCTTCAGGATTTCTGTGCATTTCTGAACGAACCTGACTTTGAGGTCACACAAGTCACGGTCACAAAAGTGTGCAGCGATGAAAGACAGTGCACAGATGACAAGATGAGGCGTCCATAACATTATTTTGCAGGATTTTTTTTGATTAATTAATTGAATTAATTTGCTCTGTTTTAGGGGGTCGTGCCAGGATCTCGATTTCGGGAGGGGGGGTCGTACGTTCTCTGCGACCACGTACTCGACACGATTTTCACCCTGCTCCGTACTGTCAGCCATAGCGTAAACAGTTGCCATGCTTCCGATGTTGAGAAGATTTAGCGGTTGAATAACTTCTGGTTTCGGAATATAAACACCAACAGTTATCATAATGTCACAAAAACCGACAATCTTAAGAACTTAAGTTAGCGGTCAAATAAATTCTGATATTTATGACGACATCGCGAATTGTTCCTCATTGCGCATCTAGATAACAACGAACAATGAGAGTGTCTCCTCCGTCCTCAACCTCATTCACATCACCCCTTACGAGCTGCTATCACTCTTTTTCTCTCCACATACAATACATGTTCCAGTCTTACCTACATCACATCTGTGGACAGCGCCCCAATGCAGCTGAGCCGTGAGCAACAAATTTCGAGACACTTGCGTTCTAACGTTCCTTATCGGATCATATCAGCTGTTATCACCTTCTGTCCCCTCCAAATATGTTCCCGTCCGCCATCTATATCATATCAGACATGGCTTTGACGGCTGATCCGTGCGCTATGAGTATCAGTGAGCACCTTTTCGCCTACATCCGCAGGCTGCTCGTTTGACAACTCACTGACAGACACCTTATGGGAGGCATTGCTTTATAGTCAGAGGATCCTGCAAAGATATACAGATATAGCCTCATGTCGTGCGCGATTGCTCAGTTCACCGTTGCAAATTAAATCGTTTAGGCTCCCTCTGCCGCTGAGAGCTACCTGAATTAATTATTGTGGCCCTAAAGATCACAGCAACTTCCCCCCCCCCCCCGCTGAGCAAATAGTCACTAGAACCGTCAGTCGTATACTCTGCATTAGAGAATGGCCGGAGATTCACAGTTGTGAGAAAGATGAGGGCGAACTACTTTACTAGAGTGTCTGATCCATTCAACTTTTCGTGGAAAATGAGTTTATTATTATGCGTAGCTCTTGCTTTACGATCATCTTGCACAACTGGAAGGGCCAGACTGTAAGGAGAAGGTCGTGCAACGAACCTGGTAAATGGAAANACAACAAGTCCAATGGCCAAGGCCATGTGGTATAGCGCCATGTAGACGACAACCATTGGATTCACGATCAGATGGTCGATGTTCCGAAACGAATGCAACGGCCTGCCAACCAGTAAACCGTCAAAGACCCGCATCAGTGCCCATCAAGACACCAAACACGAAAGAAAATGGGGGGGGGAGCTAGTCCATTTGAAGCAACTCTAATAAAAAAAAACTGCAAGACTAACCCTGATGGGAGATTCAAGTCTCCGATTACCAGTGGCCTCAGTCTTGGCCATAGTTGTAATTCGCATAGAGCATGCGCATAAAACACTAGAAAGAATTAGTACGAAGAAATCCAACAACATCTGCACGAAGTGGATTATTGCCTCTGTAAGAATTAGTCAATTTGAAAGTTGAAGAACAGGATTAGGGCGGAGGGTTCAAGTAACCCACCTGTCTTGGTCACCTCCAAGAAACAGCGACCAAGTCCTGGGAAGAATAGCTCGCAAAGCTGATCGCCAAAATAACCATTCCATGAGAGATACAGGTATGAGATCAGTTGGAAGATCGTCGAATTTAGGGAATACAAAGACAAAATAATGCTGAAAATTCTGATTTAGATTCTAGTACATATGTAGAAATACTAAAGGCCCAAATCTTTTCCAAAATGACAGAGAAATTTACGACTTTCAATAGAGAAGTTCTGACCACTATATCCTTTTCTAGACCTGTAAGGTTTCAGCAGATCTACAACTCAAGCTAATATGGTTTTTCTTAAAGGCAAGACCCGGGATTGGGTGTGCAACAGCGTTCAATAATGAAGCTTGGGAGTAGTCTGAAGTCTGGAAAAGAAGAGGATAGCCCGATAAAGATAAAATCCCAGTTACGCTCCAAACAAGACACCCCCTTCTTTCAGCCGTATTCTACCTTGGGAGGAGTGGCGTGTGCGGACGAGCTTCACAAACGTCTAGCTTCCGTTGCACCACTGTCAAAGGTGCCGTAATGCTAGCGCTGCAGCGCTCTCGCGGCGGTGCTACGGCAGCCGACGGTGGAAGACGAGACTTGCGGAAAGTGTGCACTGTGGGTCGAGTAGACTTATGACTGAAACTGTAAATGGACCACGACATTAACGTTCGTCCGCCTGCCTGCTACGGTTGGGATGGCACCAGTGAACATGCCTAACTGCGAACCGTGCCTTTAAGTTTGATATAGGCCATATATATTGGTGGCAGCTAACGGGATCGTTCTAATGATAAGTGTATTTGATTCTCGCTCAACCCAGATTCCTTCTTAATAGATTTCGAGGTAATACCGTCAGAAAATCCGGTAACTGAGGTAGAGAATAGTATGAGTTTGTATTTAAGAAAAAGTATAGGTATTAAGTTACCCCCCCCCCCATTCTCAACTCACTATTTCCAAAAAAATCTGGCCACTACTTCCTCTCCCCTCCTTCACCTCCGATACTTTTGTTGAGTGGTTCCTGGGTTACGAAATTGTAGCAATGAATCCCTTGATACTTACTTGATTCACTTCCGAATGACAAATTACGTTACAACTTCCTAAGCATGGTATGGTGATGAGGTCTCTGGTCCGAGTGATAGGGATACGGCGCGGCGGGTTTTGCCAAGTTTATCGGTTCCACGTGGGTGGTCGGCATACCCGTGTTTCGAAGTGCCGGTAAGCTCCCATGACCCCGTCAAGTGGCGCAAGGGCACCATGGCCGACTGGTGCTGCTTTACCATACATCTCTGGTCAGAGCGCTCATGGCCTCATGTGACTTTACCGCTAGGGTCGAGTTTCAGTCGTCACAGTATCTTTCCTCTAAGATCTTTTTGGCTCCTGTTCTGAGGATGCTGCTCGCGCTGAATTGGCTTCTGTGGCTTTTGTGTTTTGTTCGCCATAACTAATTTCACTTATGTGCCAACTAATCATCGGGTTTTATGGCAGGTTATTTTAGCAATTTTCCGTTCATTCCATTGTTTCTTTTTTGAGTCTGCATGATGATTTCACATACAGCCAAATGCTCTGGAGCAGGGGGTAAGGAGGTGGTCAACACTGCGACCGCTAAATAATAAATAAATAAAAAAAATTCCGCTCTTAGTGAGGGTTTGAGAAGTTGGAAACAGGTAAGAATTGTTACCACGCAGGAAGAGCGATTGGAGCATATTTCGAAGTCGAAGCAGCTATCGCAAATATTGCAGTGAGGGCTGTAAGAAACGGAGTTTTCTGTTCAGCTCCATGGAAAAGCCTGTAAAATTTTGAAGTGAATTCCTGTGTAGCTGACATTCTCGAAGAGCATACCTGTAGAAAAGTTTCTTCCAAATAGTGTACACGTCAAGTGATATTGTACTGCAGGAAAGTACCAAGAATATGGCTGCTACTATGACCAGAAAGCGCTTTGTCTTCTCATCCAACGATACTCGTCGGCTACTCGAATGCTAAGGGAGGTAAGTTTCTGAGGAAGTAGCCAGTAACTTCTCCGGGAGGATTAGAATTTCCGAATATACGAAGTTATTACGGAGCCGTACCATAGAGAGGAGCTGAACAAGCGTTGCCGTCACCACACCCACATTACACAAGGAGATCACCACTGCGGATGCTTGCCAATATGCTGATGACTGTGAGAGGAGCCCGAACGAAAGCCGCGAAGATGCCCACCACCTGCAAAAAAGAGATACTTCTATGGTGTTCACTTTCAGTACTAGACTGATCTATAAGGTAAATTCGGTTTCCAAAAGTTCACTTCGAAATCGATCGTCAAAACACAAGAATTTATGAAAAAGTGGACCCTTCAATCTCACGCTTGGTAAGCTTATCATTTTAGATGCAGTCCGACAACTGGATGGTTCAGTGGCCGTTCTTACTGTCCCCTACGGCGAAACTGAGATCTATCAATATCACCTATCACCAGCAGAAGTGGTGTCAAAGAATCTATCCAGTTGGTGTGTTAGGGTAGCCCACGAGTGCATAGCTATGCCGTTGTTTGGGCTCGAAAGTGCGACCGAGGGTGCTATGGATCAAAAAATCAGCTTTATGACGAACTATCTTAGCTTTGGACGAGTTTATTGTATTGCACCCCATTGCCACGCAAGATCGATTACGGCGTAGCGGATAGTTCAAAATGCGCGGGCTAGTGGAGCCATGGAGAAGGCATGTCTGCACAACTCGTCTGGCCCCGCCCTTCCTTTTTTAGAGGAATTGTGTTTTGAGCTTCCTCGACGGTTCTGTTTGCGTATTTTTGTCATTTTTCAGAACAATGCGGCATCCACAACGTGAATTCAACTGTTGTGACCTCGCAAATTCAATCTGGGTGTTGCTTTTGGACAAGACCTAGACACCTACGTTCAGAGCTAGAAAAGCAACTATCTTCGATGTCGTAGACTAAATAACAAATCCCAAGCGCACCTGTAGTCGAGCCAGAGGTAAAAGACCGATGGCATCAGTGTGGAAGCAGCCAGCGACAGTGTGAGAGCTCGCAAAAGCTTGCTACCCCTCGATGACAAAACACAGAGAACACCTGGAAATGGAAAGATGAAATGGATTCGGGGAGTGTGTTATAGAAGGACGTTTCCACACAAACAACTAATTCCGTCAACTCTGCATTAGTACAGGTTCTGTTATATTTGCAACGAAAGGATGGGTCGCATGGCAGTGGTGAGAATATTCCAACTTCTCTCAAAGGTAAACGCTAGATTAGCTCGGGAAACTTCACCCAGGTGTCAATCTTGAGTCTGAGCTTCGACTTCAACAACCTCCAGCCTTCAACCGCATGCCCACAGATGTGAATGGGATGTTCCCTCAAGACAAGGTCGCATCTACACCTCCCCCTCCCTACCCCGCGCCTGTTCCCCGCACCACCACTGTAACGACCTGCAATACGTTTCTCATCTATGATTAGCGAAATTGTGATGATTTTTTTTGACGAGAAGGATCGGCCTGGATTCTCCGGTAATTCAAAGAAAAAAGTCTATCGGCGGCTGCCGCCTGAATTTGATGACCAGGGGCGCAACAGGTGATCAGTGGCCGATCCTGTTCACGTTACGGGTTAACTATCGAAGAGACCTCCTAGTCAAAGATTGGACAAATAAGAAGGTCTCATTCAGTAAACGGGGGGGGCGGCATGTGGTGCGACAGTACTTATCCACCCAGAAATATAATTTTCGCTCGAGCTTTAACTCCACCCCGTAGCTTCCCGTCCTCCTGTAAAAACGTGATTGTTTTTGCGGATGTAAACTGGGCGCACCACATACCCTCCTTCCCCGGTGAGACGGCCAAAAAGACTTCTCAAGTTAACCAAATCAGAGGGCGGAAGTGGTGACATGGCACGCTGGCACGCGAGCACGCGAGCGGTCCAAATCCTGGGTCGTGAGTCGCCCGGGCCAACCAAGCCTTCCATCCCTCCGGGGTCGGTTAATTGGTACCAGACTTGTCTGGGAGGATAAAAACACTGACTTGTACATCGGCTGGCCCCCGCAAGTCATTGTATAGGCCACATCGCATTCAAACGCCACTACGAATGTACAAATGGAAGTAGAATGCGTGCCGCATCCCAAAAGGGATTGATCAACGGCAAATGCTTTATCCTTTATCCTTTTTTTGAGCCACATAGATATGGAACCACTATTTTAAGACCATTAATTTGATCATAAAACCAAATATGCTTGTTGAGTAGTTACCTAGAGCTAACTGAGTGCAAATCCATGCTGGTTCATCGAGAGTGTAGTTGGCGAACAGCGCCCGAATTCGATCCTGACCAGCCAACTTAAAAAATTCGCAAAAATAACACGCAAAACGAATGACGCCAAGTACGACCAGTGCCGTTCCCATTCCGAGCAACTTCACTGAGGGCGTCTGAAACGAGTACGTTTTCAATTTTTAAGGGATGACCTTGATAAAGAAATCTTTCTAATTAGGAATTAGGTTCTAAAAAGAGCGCTCACCTGACTATAAGCGCTGACAGACGAATAGAAATGCTGATAAATTATATATGATGACAGCATGACTGCAACCACGCAAAGCAGCGCATCCATACTGTTATACACTTGCAGATATGAGATCTGAAAACTGACACTAATTTTGAAAGAAAAAATTTCTAGCCCGAAATTCCGTAGCTTTTTTGATTTCAGATCCCGCAGACTGCCCCGGAATTTTCGTAAGCAGTGTCAAAAACCTCCACTTCGGCTCATTTCTTGCCGAAAGAACTAGTTTGCCTTCAGATTGGGGCAGTGAACACGATGGGTAAAGGGCGGAGCGATTTTGATGACGTCATTGAGCGTGATGCGTAGGAAAGGCGTTACGATATTCCGCTAAAAACGAATAGAAATTTCATCAAGGCCACTACACCCTCCCGCCATCGAGTTAACTGACCACAAAGCAGCAACCCCAGATCAATGGGTGGGGTAACAGCGGTCGAAAATGAAATTGTGGATGCTTAGTTGCAAACCACCGATGAAGCCAATGTGAGATGGGCGTGTCTGGACGAGTTGTCTGGCTCGCTTGCTCCACGGTTCCACTAAATCGCGCATATTTGAATTAGCCGCTACGTCGTAATCCACGTTGCGTGTCATGGGTGTGCGCGAGGTATCTCGTCCATTAGCTCACATTAGCCGTCATTAGCTCACTTTGTAAGGCCCTAGCGCCATGTGCGCACTTTCGAGCGCGACAACGGCACAACTGTGATACTCGAGGCTACTCTATCGTGCCCACACAAAAAAAATGACTGACACGACCTCATCTAGGGTTGTTGATTCAACAAATGAACCAATTTCAATAGTGAATCCGCTGCTAAGAACGTACCGTGGTAGAAGAGGACACCATAGTTCCGTTCAAAGATGACAGAAGACGAAGATTCCAGAAATCAGCCACCATTGCGTTGACGGAAATACAAAAGCACAGCAGCTGCAGCATCAACGAAAAGATTTCTGCGGCCCATGAGTTCTGAAAAAAAAAACTGTAACTAGGACGGTTTGTGGGAGAAACTGCGAAAATGGCAACTGACAATCATGAGCAATCGGGCAGCACCGGCAAACACGACGATGGTGGTGATCCAATGAGTGTTGATGTTAGAGATCCAAATGGACGAACTTCTCGGCTCTGCCACGATCCACCATGCATTTAAGAACCCGAAAAAGCCGTGACCATGCTGCAAACACGGCAAACGCTGCCTTGATATCATGGATCCCTGAAAATGTTGTTCAACAATGTAATCATCACAGATGTGCCACGCAACAGAATATCGACATAGGCACACCATGATTGCGCCACAGAAACTCCAAATACCTTGTTTCTATGCTGTCTTAAAGTATGGGCAGATTCAACTGGTACAGTTCCTTGCACACAATACCGAACGTATTGCGTGCGACATGGCCGGCCACGACAAAGAAAAAAATCAAAAGATCGAAAATGTTGATTAGGGCGTCTTAACCTAAGTTATGCGGCTGTGCTGAAGCAATGAGAAACCTGAGTGCGGAGAGGAGAGTATGAGGTGAGAGAGCGCCAGACAATAGCACGAAATACATTGCAGCTGCTGCAGCTTACTTTGCAAGGCCCTAGCACCCTTGTCGGGTGATTTCCATCCCGCGGGAGCACATCTATGGATGCCTTCTACGGTCTGTCCCACAGCAGGAAGGCGGAATAACTCATCGAACTTGCCTGGGTGCCATTCAATGCGGGTTTCAGCCGCAGTTGCAGCCATACCACCAGTTAAGCTGATTATGGACAAAAAAACTCTTCCCTCTGCCGCGAATCAGAACCGCACCCTCGCTCTCCGAACAAAAAATTTTGCTCGTAAGCGAGCATTCCTGTGATAACATGTGTAAGAAAATTTCTGCCTATATCAGCTGTGAAGGGCAAAGGCAAGTAACGGCAAGTGGGCAGTCGAAATGGTCCCGGGTTGGATCTTCCAACAACGGTATGGTGATGGTCGACAATTGACAGGCAGAAAACAACTAGGGATTAAAAATATGCAGATTATGTATCGGATCGGCACCCACCGTAGTCAGAGCGCGTACCCGAATTGCCTCCTGATGCCACTACGTTTTAGAGTGCCTCGATGCCACTATATCCAGAATTGAAGTAGAAAGTGTCGCCATCCCGCGTAACCGGTACTGGCCGGCGCTGCCCACTTGGGCTTTTGACCTTCGCTATACCTGTTTTGTATGCTTCACTTTATATGAATCGCATAACGTTGACGAACTCTTTGAGCATGCGCCACCAATTCGACTCGTTCCATAGATATGTAGTGGCTTAATAACTGACTAATCGCAAACCATTACTTTGTGGGGCTCCACACACGCATATTCCAGGCAACAGTCAATCAAAGTTCTTGGAGCATGGGAGGGCTTAACTGGATTGACTAGCTATATGGCCTCTACTCCGTCGTTCTGCACCGTAACATGGGACAAAAATCAGCAAAATAATAAAAAGTCAGTGAAAACAGTCAAAGCGTGGATTGCACTTAAACTCGGCAACCCAGTGCACACCTGCTCCCTGGCCTTTAAGCCGTTCTGGAACAAATCAGAAATGGCTGCTGCCAACACAGCATTTCTTAGTAGCAGTGGAAAGGACGATACTGACAGCAAAATCTCTGATTCGCTTGAAACAGCTCAGAGATCAAAAAATGAGAAAGGCTAAAGGGCGTTTGGATCATGTGCGCTGCGTGCACGTTAGGCTCTATCCTACCCAGCCTATTTGACTCTTCGACGACAATGCGGATTTGCACGCAACGGACTTGTAGGACCACGACTCTTGTTTGCGCGCGCCCAGCTCGCACTGCACCTTAAGCAAAATTGGTTTTGAAAGCAGTTTTCTACCGAATTTAGACTTTGAAACTTTCATATTACGTATTTTTGGAAAGTGAATTTAGAAGTTTGAAAAGTGAATTCGGATTCCAAAAGGGGTACAATAGAGTTTTCGATGAGGTTCAAACCCCTCCCTGTGTCTGAGGACCATGAAAGTACGAATTACAGGGTGCGCCAAAATTACGGAGACAGCGACTTCGAGTTGCCTAGGATGAGCAAGGTGCAATTCTTTGAAAACAAAAATGCAGTGACGTGCACAGTCCCATTCTGAATCGTCGACATCCATGCAATTTTTGAAATTCCTTGGTTTGTGTTTATACGGGTCCTCAGAAACATCGAGGAACCATCGACTGTGGCACGCAATGTGGCGAGTAGGACTCGTCAAGCTCATTTTAGAGCGGTTTCTTCAACGAATCCCTAGACATAATGTGTTTTATGCAAGCCTCAGCTTCTAGAACGGATCCGACAGCGTACCCTATCGAGCTCAGATCTGAAATGCTGTTCTACCACCGTTTAAGCCGACAAAGTCGAAAAAATCGGTTCTGCATCAATGCTGCACTAGTACTGAACCACCCTTGCCTCGTAAACGGGAGCTCCTACTTGATGGAAGGCCCAGCAACGATTTTCAAAGTGAAAATAAACTCAGGATTAGCAATGGGCTCTGATAAGTCCAAAAGAGCCCCCCTGATTCCTATCTCTCGTGACATCCAGTGAAACCAGCGCGTCAACTACCTGCAAATTCTATCGCACACAATCCTTAGATTGTTCGTGGTCGCCACAGAAACACGCCCTTCTCATCCAGAATGACTGCATTCAGCTCCTTGTCCCCTGTACCACTTGGAGCATCTATTGATAGTGCTCGGGTATACACCAAAACGATGATAATTGTCGCGTGCCAAAAACCCTCAACGTCGAAGTCCAATGATTTAGGGACGGTGTCAGTATCAGTCAACCGCTGCAGCTACCATAGATTTTGGTGGTTGAACAAGGTAAGCATAAACAATTCTACACCACAGTACCAAAACTAGGACAGAAGAAAACAGCATCTGTGAATATCAGTTCAAATTGTTTGCTCATGCGTTGTCTCCGTAATTTTGGCGCACCCTGTATCCTTCAAAGCAGTGAAACTCCACCTTAATTATGAAAAAACCCCAATTAACATTGTCGCGCAAGCCGAATGCCGCTTCAAAAATTCTTATAAAAAGTAGCTGGTGATTGAACATCCAACCGTCGCTAAACCTAGATTTTTGAAGACACCTGTATTTACGGGGATGGTGAAGGAAACTAATGGCACCAATCCTAGGGTTCCACTGTCCCACGAGGCGTACAGAATGGCACCCACCGCTGGGTGCCATGTTGTCAAAGTGGTTAACTTATGGCTAGGTTCTCCAAGTGGTTCTTAAGGTAGTACCGAAGTTTGTGAAGGATACACACACACATATTCAGGCAGCGCTTCCCATTTAGTTGAAGTAAATAATGTGCGTATTTTTGCACCCAGGTCTCGAAAATTCCGGGAATTATGAGATCTAAGTTGTTCACCCTGAGATCGATTTCATCGGCTCTCAGAGCGTATTCAATTCCAATAATTCTGTAAGTTTTGAAATTAAGATTTTTAAAGGGCCATAAAATTTCTACGTACATGTTCAGAAAACAAGTGCAATAAATAGTTTACAAATAGGTGAGAAGCAATGCTGCGCGATTTCTCACCGAATCTCACCAAGTAAGCTGTATACTCTCATCAGCTGATCAGGAAATCGAATGCGTATCTAAAGAGAAACTAATTCTGCACTTTAAACAATCTTTTGAACTAGGCGAGAGGTGTTGCTAGGAGGGCACCAGCAGAAAAACGAGGCAAAACTACAAGAATGCAAAAATTTCGGAGCTCAGCAGCCTTCAAAAACCGTTTTTGTGCCATGTTCGACTTTGTTGCCGTTTCCAGTCGAGACAAGCGAATTAGTCACGAGAAAAATTGGCTCTTTTCTCATACAAAGAGTAGAACTATTCAACGATATAATCGATAGATGATTCATGTTAAGATGCTTCATTTCAAAATGAAGGGGAAACTGGATGAGAAAACCGAACATTAGGCGAATAGCAGCGGAAAACATCGAGTTAAATTTAAGGGCGTTCCTTTTTATGCGGAGACTTCAATTTTTTATGTTCCGAAGCTCATTAAGGAGGAAGTGCGTGTGCTGATTGGATGAAGGTGGCACTTAGGTTGGCAAACATCGTTGGTGGTTTCGCTTGAAAGTGCATGAGTCTCGAAGTGCCCCGAACTATTTAGTGGAATTCATTCACTATGGAAGACCAGAAAAAAATCAACAGCGCTAGGGTTAAATTTAGGAGATTACAGACCGCATCATCATGTAGGATTCACTTAGGTTAAGGTAGGAAATAATACCTAAGAGGTGATGGCATTTAATAGTGTAATGTTTGAGACGCTCATAATCTTGGGGGGGGGGGGCATTCAAAACATGGCCGATCGTAGGTGACACTAGGAACAAAGGTTAGTCTACAAGAGGGAGAAATGCCAGATAAAACTCAAACTGTTAACACCCTCCTCTAGAACCCCTTCCGCTCTCTTGGACTCAGCCCTAAGTACACCAATCCGCTCACTCAAATAAAGGCCTCCCCAACGACATGAGCTGAAAGCCCCCCCAATGACATGAGCGCTGTATCTGAGGGTTGCGACCATAATACCCGCCATGAGGTCATATACAGCGAGGCGAGTCAAAAAAGGCCTTTTGCCCACGGCGCACGTGAGCAAACATTCCGTCGCAAAGGGTGCCGCTGTTGATGGAAGTCTTACGATTGAATATTAGTGATACGACCTTCTATAAGTAAAAGCAGGCCTTTGTTCACTGCCTTCACAGTCTTCAAAATACGAAGTAATCCGCCGCCGCTGTCGAGCTCAAAGTGATCTACAGTAACTGCCTCAGCCTCAAGCAGGTACCGAACAAAACTTCAGATACTATGGTGGCAGCTAGCAGCTCTGACAAGCTCTAAACAAAAGCTCTAAGCTCTGTGGATCAGCCTTTGGACACGCGTCGCAATGGCCCGCGATCCGTCAAGAACTCGGTTGAGCTCCCAATCAAGTTCTCGTGCCAAATTCTTCTGCTGTCACCGTGGAGAAGCTTATTATAGAGTTATTAATAAATTTGAATATGATCTTCATTATTCAACCAGACGGGTCGGATTCGGCTGCAGCAAAAGTGTAATCAATCAGTTGATGCGGAACTTGGAGGTCACTGGCGGAAACAGTGCGGTTAGACTGAGTTTCCGTAAGAAAAAAATGTGAAGCGCTGTGGAAAAACGGAAAGATCACTTCTTTTCCCAGTTAGCCAAACCCACCTGCCCCCCTTACGGGTGACACCCC